TTGTGCGTTTTGTGAGTCCAGGTCATGCTGTCTTTAAGTTTCCAACCCTTGTGGGTTCCGCCTCTTTTAAGGGATTCATCAGCTTGTGGTGTTTTTGTAATTTATTGTTAAATTAAATAAAAAAAAAGTGTTGATTTGTAGCAGATGTGCTTCAGCTTGTTTTCAACTTTCTGCAATTACTTGTTCATAAAATGATGCTTTATTTTAGCCGAAGGGCAAATTTGTTGTTTTGGAGCGCCTGTTTTGATTTCCCCTGAGAATACATTTCATTAGTGAACGCTTGCTGAGATAACTTTACAGAGGGGGGTGACAGCATGTAATTGTTTTTAAAAAACTAATCAGTATAAGAGTTAATATATAATCTTTTTAATCATTCAGTTACATTTTGTCATTGTTGCAGTTCCTAGAAAAGGTCTTGAAGCTAGCATGAAATTGTTTAAATGTGAGACCCTATTGTGAAAAATGTTGTTCTTTAAGTTTTCTGTTTGCAAAATGCATATCTCCGTATTTCTGGTGATCATGGTGTGAACAATATTGACTATATCTTCGTGTTTTTGCAGATACTGTATTTTCAGTACTGAAAAATTCAAACAAATTCAGCTGTCTGTGTTTTTGTGGGTTAGTTAAAGTCAACGCCATTGTGAGCATTTATATCTCTGGGTTCTGTCGGTGCTGCACTAGCAATGACACTTAAACTGATGAGCAGTAGGGTTTTATGTTGTCCTGTGTCGAGTTTTTTCCCAGTGTTTTGAGTTTACACCAAAAATGTGCACTTAACGCAGAAATATAAATTGGTCTTGTGTAGGGGTGTAATGATCACGATTGATCCGTGATTCGTACAGATCACAACCCACAGTTTGGAAGGGCACGTGCCCACTGACAGTTTTTTTTTTTATTTCTTTATTGACTATTAAGATTTTTTGAAGTGCAGAAATGCTAGTATTGTTCTAAAAATGGTCAGCTGCAAGTGTTTTTTTAACTTTCATTGTTTTTAAAAAAAAAGTGTATAATCTAGTACCTGACATGCCCTGCCCCTTTCAAGACTTAACCACTCTCAATGACAGAGCAGTGATAAAGCAAAACACTATTGGCATTTTTTTTTAATGGGGGAAAGCTACTCTACCCCACCCATTCTTTAACTTTAGATTGAGATTAAGTCAAAGATCGAACAAAAATGCATATTTCAAAGCACCTCACGGCACCTGTTGAAACGCAATGCTAACATTGACAACAACAGAAAAAAGAACGCTTTGGTGGACACCCACCCTATTTTCTGTCATGGATAAACTAATGGAACACTAAGGCCCAATCTCAATTCTACTCCTTAGCCCTTCCCCTTATCCCAATTCCCAATTATCTTTAGCTTGAAAGCGTAGGGCTAAGGTGAAGGGCTAGATAGCCCGTGAAACTGAGATTTTCGAGGACCACACTCAAAACTAAGGGGTAAAAATTTTTTCTATAATATATCAGCTACAATGGCAGCATTGGTATTTTTTAATTAAATTAGTTTTTGTTGTCATTATCACGAACAAGCTTATGTTTTAATACATTCATAATGACGCTCTTGTTTACCATCATGGATAAAAAAATGCTAAAATAAAGAAATGCTAAAAACTTTAATCCATAATAATATCTCCTGCATAGCAGTCCCGCAACATACTCTTACATCTGACACTCGATGACAATCGAATACCCTGTCAGAAAAGTCTAGTGGCTGGAAATTACTTTTTCATGGTGCCTGGTATAATGTTAATGTCGTTTTCATCTGGGTTACGCAGTGGCGCAGTAGGTTGTGCTGTTACCTCACAGCAAGAAGGTCTCTGGTTCGAGCCTCGGCTGGGTCAGTTGGTGTTTCTGTGTGGAGTTTACATGTTCTCCCTGCATTTGCGTGGGTTTTTTCCAGGTGCTCCGGTTTCCCCCACAGTCCAAAGTCATGTGGTACTGGTGAATTGGCTAGGCTACAATTGTCCGTAGTGTATGAGTGTGAATGAGTGCTGCAGTGTTGTTCCATTTCTTAGGGGTAAATTTTGAAGCCCTTCCCCTTCACACTCTGTTTCAAGGGCCAAGGGGAAGAGGTACAAAATAGAATCTGGATTGAGCCTAAAACTATCAATATGTGGTGGCAAAGCCATGTCCTATTGAATGATTAACTTAACCATGTATTCAAATAATTTGTTTAAAACAGCTGATTTATTTGGATAGAAATTTTTGCAGCATGACCTGTGTACATAAACTGTGTAAATCAGTCCCCCCCCCAATTCTTTTATAATGCCTCTGACTACAATGAAGTTAACAGTCCATTTAAGAATTACGACTAAACTGAAACTGAACAGATTTTTTTTTAAATACTCCGATCGTGGCTGACTGAAATCATTTTATTAGATCTAGATACAATTCAAGAGTTCACACTTAGCTGATGATTTACAAAGCTTATTTGGCATGCTGTCCCGGGAGAGAGCCCCGAGCTCAAGGGCTCCTCGAGCCCGGGGCTTCCTCCCGTTGGCAGAGCAAGAAGGGAGCCCGAGCTCGGTGGATCTCAGAACTCCCCTGCTGCTGTAGCTAAGGGCAGCTTAGGGCTCATATGATTGGAAGATTAGTGATTAGCAAATACGAGACTGGCCGTGATAAATCATAAGCACGTGATCCTCTCGAAATAAGTTTATGAATAAACTTCACTTAAATAATGAACAAAATTATTTTCACCCTCAATTAAACCTGTTAGATCTGGTCATTATCTTTGAAAAAAACACACACTAATGTTTTAGGAATTACAAACATTTGCACAAATCCAATTATTGAGCAATTAGAGTGTGTCAGAGATGTGAGCTCAGACAGACAGCGGGAGAGGGGAGGACAGGAGCGAGCCGCTGGAGAACGTGGGATGATGGACGAATAAAAGACTTGTTTACTCTAGTGCACTGAGACACTGGCAGTGAAAGCCAAGCATTGTTCCTCCATAAACGCTCTCTGAAACAATGAAGCTCTCTTGCTAGAGAGACCCTCAGCGGATGAGAGTCTGACCACTGAAAATCTAGTAAGACTGCTTGTATTCGATATAAAAATCACCCAAGATCTACATGTTCGTGGAGGAAATCTTTAGTTGTTTTATTCCCCTGGTGTGTGTTGAGCTGTGTGTGTAAAGGGTGTAACTTTAAACATTGGGTATGTTTTATAATCTAATGCTACAAGACCAAAAGCTCTATGTTGTTATTGCTTTTCAGACACTAAAATGAAGGAAATAGCATAGTACAGTACAATAAAAAGAGATTACCATTGGTATATCATATTAAATGTGTTAAGGTTGTGCAATATGACTATGTACAGCCTATAAATAAATAAATAGATATCAGATGGATTAAATAAAATTGTTTAAAAAAATAAAATAAGTTTCAAGTTGTTTCATATTATGCTGTTAATTAGTTTATGGTGTCGCAAAATGTGTAGTTTACAATAATACTTTTTTTCATCAATTTGGATGATCACAGTGTTACATTTTATTTACAGTCTGCATATTATTTAGCATTATTTGTATGTTGGGCCTGTAATCATTAATTTTTTTATTTAATTTTCATTTATCAAATACAGTTAAAGTCACAATTATTAGCCCCCCTGAATTATTAGGCCCCCTGTTTGTTTATTTTCCCCAATTTCTGTTTAACGAAGAGATGCATGTTTCTGCATAAAAACGTGCTGGATAAGTTGGCGGTTCATTCCACTGTGGGGACCCTGGATCAATAAAGACAAGAAAATGAATGAATGAATGAATGAATGAATGCATGTTTATAGGGCACCAACAGTTTCATTAGTTTGCCTTTTTTAATACTTCTGTTGTCCCACAATTTAAAAGCAATATCGTATTTTTCAATAGTTTATTTCAGTCAATTTTTTATAATCCATTTTTTTAAGTTATTTCAGTGACCACTTTAGTTTTTCGCTCTTCAATGGAAAGGTACCTACAAATATGTCCAAGTCTGTGCAGTATATCTTCCCATACACCTCCACCTTGAGCTCAAAGTTATAATTTTCTTTTAAATAAACAAAAGGGCACATTAGCTATAAGTAATAATCCCTACTCTTACCATATAAAGACCACAAACTTTTAAATGTCAATATGAATTAGGGCTGCACGATATTGGATATATCTGACAATGCAATATTTTGTTTTGCTGCCATTCATATATTACGATATGAATAAAATTTAGAAAAATTGTATTAATTTAGATCTTAAGTCCTTCATCTAAGCAATGCATTTGCAAAAAATATAATAAAATACAACCAAATATAAATATGACATTTATATTAATAACAGTTGAATAAACAGTGCTTTATGGTTTTTTTGGCGAGTCTAACTGTATTCAAATATAGGAATTAAACAATCAAATGTCAAATAACTTACTCCTTATCATTGTATAAATAATTTTCAACAATAATATTTAATCTTTGAATCTCTAGTGAATAATCTAATTCTGCAATGTGACTATTGCGGATACACACATTGTGATATCGACGTCCAAGCGATATATTGCTCCACCCTAATATGAATCCATTGTCCTCAAAAATGACACTAGCACTCTCCATCCCATCCTCTCCCCCATTGGCCTGTGGCTTCTAGCCTTTCGACATGTTTTGGTTTTTGAGGTTTCATTTATTTAGTGACTGCTCTCGAATTCCCAGCAGAGCCCTACTCAATCACTCACAAACATCTTGGTGTCCCTTATGGAGAAACCTAGGCAGGCGGGTTTGTGTCGTCTGCTGTGAGTAAAGAGAGTCTCCTATGTTCCTCATATTACTGTTCATCTCGTCGACAGGAAGCTTTGTTCTGATTGGCTGAAGCTGTGCAGTGTGGGCGGGTCCCTCTGCCCTTATATGTCCTTGAGGGCAGATCTGTTTTGTTTTGTTTTTTTGGTTATGCAAAGCATTGTGGGAAGTATACAGGTGTAATGCGCTACCTTCTTATCATTTGTTTGTTTTGTTTTAACGCGATTACTCAGCAAAAGGGAGGAATGTGGATATTCGATGAGCCCGGATCTGTTCAAGCGCTCGACTTGAGAAATGCTGCGCAATGATGGCTGTTAGGTTTCTGCATCAGGTAAACTCTGCAGGAGATGAAATGGGTATTAGTGTGCACTTGATACCTGCTGGAAAACCAGACACCGGCTGACCATAGAGCAGGCTCGAATTGTGCTTTATGAACAGTGCTTGGAAATAAAATGCTTTTTATTTTTAGACTGTAGCTGGACTTTTGACCTGAAGCTGGTCTTTCAGAGGTGCATAATGTTGCCTGAGGGAATGGAGTGTGACTGCAATTACTGAATCAAGTCAAGCAAAACTAGATTATGCAAATACTTGAAGAGCTTGAGCTGAAAAACTGAATGTAATTCATGACTTTCATTGTGAGTTTTATTTCATTCGTCAAGGTTTTACTTTGTTAAAAGTTACAGCATTACAGTTCATGCTCAAGCTATTGATGCTTCTAACTAAATATGGATTTTGAAGTATTTCAGAATATTTTCTTGGCTTGTGGAAGATTTAGAGTTGGATTCTGATCTTTTCTCAGTTCATGAGTATGAATTTAATAAAAATGGCCAAACCCATAGGAAGTTTGAAGTCACACGGAATAAATGCATTCTGGGAAGTGAAGTGTTCTTCCATTCTTGAGCACCAAAACCAAATCTGTCTGTCTTTCTATTATTTGTTTATTCATTTTTAATGTAATTTATTCTTTAGGCCCTACCTTATATTAAGTGGCCTTAATTACTATGTTTACCTAATTACTTAAATTTAATCATTTAGTATAAGGCACTTTGCATGCACATACAGTAGATGGTTTAACATTGTGCTAATATTTTAAAAATGAAATGCTTGTAGTTACATCTGCAATTAATTTCTGTAACTACAGTATATTTAGAATTACACTGTTGACCCATTCTTTACCTTAACCCGACCTTAAACTTCCCCACACATCCAGACTTGTACTAGGCATGGGCCGGAATAAGATTCTGACGGTATGATAACCTTGGGTAAAAATATTACGATTTCACAATATAACGGTATTGTAATCGCTGCTCTAAAAATTTGTTCTTTTTAAATGTCTGCATAAAAGACAACAACTTTTTTTCCCAGTGAACATGGTATATATTTTTTTAAATTTAGAATATTCTGAAACAAATGTCAGGCTTAATAATTAAATTAAGTTGGGAATTTTGCTGTCTTAATTAGTTTCAAAAATACAGATTTTCTACTTGGAAAAAGCATATTTGGATATCTTTTGTTTTTTGTTAAAGCAAGCCTCTGCACTATTCAGGTCTACAGCATGCTGTATGTTGGTTTATACAAGATTTGCTTTTCAGATGTTTCCTAAATCATGGACTGAGCAGTAACTTGTGATGTGGAGGCTTCTTTTCTATTGTTGCCCCTTAAAAAAACACGTAAAAACATAATAAAACTTACAAACACCTTAATTACAGTATAACAGAAAATGTTAAAGGTTTTAAAACATTGTGTTTTCAGAAAAGCAGTATACCTTAAAACCAGTTATCGTCCCATGCCTAACCTGTACCTAAACTCACCCATATTCCATTACTATCTGCACCAGTAGTGTTGTGCAAAACTATATGAACACAATATGTGTATATTCAAAGTAATTAAGGCCACTAAATATAAAGCAGGACTGTTATTTATTCTGTTGTATCATTGTTCCTTTTACTGTTTGTTCTATTGTTTTGTCATTCTCTGTCATTTGGTCATTTTGTCCATCTACAGTGCATCTGGAAAGAATTTATAGCGCTTCACTTTTTCCACATTTTATGTTACAGTCTTATTCCAAAATGGATTAAAATAATTTATTTCCTCAAAATTCTATACACAATACCCCATAATGACAATGTGAAAAAAAGATTTTTGGAAATTGTTGCAAATTTATTACAAATAAAAAACCTGAAAAAATCACACTTGCATAAGCATTCACAGCTTTTGCTGTGAAGCTCTTAATAAATTTGCAAAACTTTTCACATTGTCATTATGGGGTATTGTGTGTAGAATTTTGATGAAATAAATGAATTTTATCCATTTTGGAATAAGGCTGTAATCTAAAAACATATACAACAATACTTTGCAGATGCACTGTATATTTGTTATAGTGAGCGCTTCATTTTATCGTCCTCTCAATCATTGTATTGTTCTGTCATTTATATCTATTGCTTGGTCATTCAGTGTTGTTTTTTTTAGCATTCATACCTTCATTCTGTCTATTATTAGTTCAATTATTTGTTTCATTATTCTGCCTGTTGTTTGTTTGTTTGTTTGTTTGTTTGTTTGTTTTAGCCTACTATTATTTCATTGTTCTACTTTGCATTCCTTCTGTCATTCTATCTATAATTCTATTGTTGTTTTATTGGTAACAGTTTTTTTGATGGTCCAGTTGAGTATTAGCAAACTGTCTGCTTAATATCTGTTGACATGCTCCTTCAACATTTAACTGACTATAAGAAACATTGCAAGTACATGTCAATTTACACTAAACCCAACCCTAATCCCAACCCAACAGTCTGCTTATAATCTTATGAGAATTAGTTGGCATGTAGATGCATCATAATTTAAATTCAACAAACAGACCATCAAAATAAAGTGTGACCGTTTTTTTTTATCTATTGCTCGTTGTGTCTACCGTTTTTTTGTCATTCTTTCTATCATTGTTAGTTTTAGTTGATTTTTTTTCTGCCATTTGTTCCGCTGTTCTATTCTTCATTCCTTCATTCTATTGTGTGGTCATTCTTTCTATACATCTGATGTTTGTTTTATTTATTCTTTCCATCTTTTTTTATTTTACCGTTTTGCCTGTGGCATGGTGGTTCTTGTTTGTTTTATTATTTGTTCATTTATTCCTTCCGTTAATCTACCAATTTGTATGGTTCTATCAGTCATGTATATCTCGTTCTACTCTCCGTTTCTCCTTATTTTAGCAAAATTATTTCATTAGTATGTAGTTACTTATTGCGAGGAATGTTGTTTTTATTTGATAACGCATTGACTTTGGCTTGTTTTACATTGTTGTTGGTTTGTTTGGCACTTCATTGCTTGCTTTGCTTTGAGCTGGTTAGTTAAGAAGACTGCACGCATCTGTTTACCAACCTCGAGAGAACCATAAACAGTAAATATTTTGATGAACGCAGTTTCATTTTTCAGCACAGCCTGTTTCTGTTTCTTTTTCTATTTCTTGGTTGTTTGTAAAATAACCTTTTCTTTAGGGATCAGTGAAATGTGTTGACATGTTTGAATAATCAGAAAACAAACTCGGATAAAATGCCAGTGGATAGTTTTAATAACAAAATACCATGTACAAAAAAAAGTGTTAGATTATGTTTTGACTCACTTAAACACAATCATAAATGGCTTCAATCTGATTATGCTGATGAGTGTACGTGAGGAATGTAGTTGTAACCAAACAGGACAGACACGAAAACATCTGAAAAACTTGAACTAAATTCAGCATTCAGGCGTTTGCTTATTGACGAAGAAGAGTCGGACACGGACATGTTTGTGGAATGTAGGGTCGGGTCAGATGGGAAGTGGATAAAATTAGTCTGCGCTATGCACATGCCTGAGAGTTTGTCTGTTTGAATAGATGTTTGGGTGTGCATTAAGCGTGGTTTCCTAATGACCTGTTGTTTTGGGGATGAGCAAGCTTCGCACATCCTCTTTTTACTAATCATTATTAGATGCTATTGTTTAACCATCATTGTTTACCGTGCAAGCTTGACCTCTTTCCCAGAGCTGTTTTATAAAAGGCTTGGTGAGAGATGCTTCAATGTGAAATTCACCAAAATAAGGTCACGCGACCCTTCAATCTCATTGCGAGATCATGGGAAGCTTGCCGCTGTTCTGGATTAGACGCCTCCTCATTCCGGGGATGTAAAATCAGTGTGGCAGAATAACCGGCGCCTCACTCTGCACTTGTCCAGACATTTTTTTTTTGGTGTGTGTGTGAATTTTAGCTAGTAGCATCAGATTGCACAGCAGGAATTCTCTGTAAGGAATGTAAGACTTGAGAGGTTGGAAAGCATGGTAGAAGATAACACGCTGACCTTCAGATCTCCTTACAGCGTGTTCTTCAGTGTCAGAATGGTTGTGATGTTTGTGGGTTTTAGATATTTGCCATACAGGGTTGCTGTGATTGTGCCATCGGCAGCCTTCGCTGTAACCCTGACATGACCTAAAAATACCAGCACTCCTCCAGCTTCATTCCTCCTGTCTGTCTCTGCTTCTATGAAAATCATCAGTCGCTCGCTAAGGCATGTTGTTTAAGGATGCATGCATGTACTTGAACAAACATGCTAAGTTAAAGTTGCATGCAAAGGGTTGAACTCTTGTAAATGGAACGGCTAAGTGCTAATGTTCTTATCCCAACGTTCTCAATGCCTTAAAGGGTCATGAAACACCAAAAAACATTTTTCACATATTTCACAAAAAAATGAAAATTGGTTGTTTTTGCGTTATTTCAAGCAAATTTGTTCTTCCGGTTTGAAAATAAATTTTCAAGCGATTAGCATGGAGACTGGATGTCTGTACTGGCGGGTACAAAGTGACGTCTTTGAGTTTTCATCAATAATTCAAGAGATAGACTTGGTTTGAACCAATCAGTGCGTTCTATTGTGAATGAGGTGCAACTTCATTAACATGCATGATATAGCTTCGAATACTGTTTTTACCTCTTACAATGTTCAGATGGCAGAGAGACCCCAGGTTGTGGTGCAAACCATAGTAAAAGAAGTGGAAGAAGAAAACTGTTTGGAGACATGGGTTGGCAGTGTTGCGTTTGTAAATGTGCTGCAACACAGCTTTTGTTTTCAATTCCCCGCTATGAGAGTGCAGCTAGACTCACGTGTGGATTACAGTGGTCTGCTAACACGTGACAAAAATATGTTTGTGAGTAACATTTTTTAACCCGAGAGTTTTTCATATCTGGAAATGGTGAAATCTGGATTTGCCGCTCCCCCTTTTAAAAAAAGCTGCGGTTTCAGTTGGTGTTGACTGTCGTGTCTGCACAGATTTGGTAAGTGTGCGATCAGTGTTCTTTGTTTATGTTTATTC